ATTTTATAATAGTAATTAGTATGATTATTATAACTTATAATAGTAATTACTAATATATAATATAATTATACTAATATAACTAATATAATTTATTATAAGTAATATAATACATATAAATTATATTATAAGTAATATAATTCATTATGATTATACTAATTATAAATATATATTTTTTTTATTATACTAACATAGAAATTAGTAAGTATAGTTACTAGTATTATTGTATTAATTATTATAATAACATCTTGATTAGAATTGATTATCTTAAAAAATAAAATTTATTGATATTATGCTAGAATTATAATTGATTATTTTGTAAAATTATTAACATACATCGTAATATATTGCAGACGTCGGTCGAAGATTTTGGAGGAGACGGTCTTGATTACCGACCTTGTTCCACAACAACTAATCTATTTGATAGTGTTGACGAAGCTATTGAATGGGCAAAAGATATTGCAATCATATGGGGTTTCTCATTGGTCATCTCGAGACACGAAAAAGAAGGAAAGAATAGGTTGTTGAGGTGTGATCGGGGGGAACGTTACAGAAGCCGTGTAGAAAAGGTAGTTAATGCTATTATGAGAAAATCGAAAACTAAATCGACCAACTGCCTTTTTCAGTTAAGAGTCAAATTTGATTCTCAATCAAAAAAATGGTGTATCTCGGTTCCTTTAGATGATGCGAAGGGACAACATAATCATGCGTTGGCTGTTAATCCCGAGGGTCATCGACAGATGAGCGGCCTTAGCGATCCGTCCAAAAAGATTGTCCGTGATATGACTTCTGCTCACGCAATACCGGGAACAATTTTGGCTGCGATTCAGGAGCAGAACCCTGTAGACAACGCTACTTGTAAACAAGTGTACAACTATAGACATAAAGTGCGGAAAAATAATTTACAGGGTAGAAATGTGGCTGACCAACTTCTGAATTTGGCTAAGGCCAACAACTATATACATTACGTAGATGTTGATCCGGACACACAGGCGTTGACACGTGTCTTCATGTCGCATCCTCAATCCGTCAGTCTGTTTCGGACATATTACTGGTATGTCGGTATAGACTCCACGTACAAAACCAACAGGTATGTTATGTTACTTTATAAATATCAATTTAATGCGAATATTGTTAGTATGTTTGAATAGGTTTTTTGATTCTATGTTGCTTTTATTTTTACAGGTACAAGATGCCATTGGTGGAAATGATTGGAATGACGCCGTGCAATAAGAACTTCTTAATTGCCTATGCAATTATCAAGGACGAGACCGAGTACAGCTATAACTGGGTCCTACAGCGGTTGAGACTTCTGTTACCTTCTGATGTACATCCTACAGCCATTGTCACTGACAGGAAGTTGGGTTTGCTTAATCCAATTCGGATGAATTTC